TAGGGACTAAGTCAATGCGTGTTTTGTCTATATATTTAAGTCTGCGAAATTTTGCCTTTAAAATACCAAATGCTTGTTCAATAACTACACGCGTTGAGCTGTGTACATAATTGTAATGTTTTTCTTGTGGAGATAAATGACCATTGTCTCTAAAAGGTGTCAATAAATTAACTGTACATGGATAAGCAGAATCACCAAGTAAATGGTAATCTGAGGGTATAAAGTTAGGATCATTTGCTAATCTTTGACCAAGAGGACTGATGCGAAATACACGAGCATCATGTGTAGAACCTGCTCGATCTGCAAATACATCCAAAAATACTTTATTTGAATTACAGACTGCTTGGAGAATAATCGACGGATCACCTTTGCGATTGACAAAAGCATTCCTACCATTCATTGGAGGTTTGCAGTGTATATATGTACCATCTATGGCACCTATAACTCCTGGAAAGTGTCTTTTTGATTCAAAATCATTTGCAATTGACTTGTATTGATGAGATTCTGGCCATTGTATGAAATCGTGCTGATGTGATGCAATTGCCTTAATAGTAGCAGAAATTATATAATGAGCAGTACTTTTCCATACCCCAAATCTATCCGCAATTTGTCTGAAAATATAACATTAATTCTTTATATTAAAATCAAAACGCTTTAGAAACTAAATTAATTACTTATTATTTACCTATAACTTTCTTGATTGGCAAGATACCATACAGTTATGAGAATTTTTTTAATAACTGGGATTGTTGTTAAATTCTTCCCTACGCCATCTGTTTCAGAAGTTTGAAGATCGTCTTGAACAAATTCTAGAAGTTTCTATGGATAATTTTTTAAATTAGATAATATTTAGAATATAGCTAAAGTAGTAATTAAAACTGAAACTTACTTGGATTGAATGTCTACTCATTCTAAAATGACTTCGGAATGTGAAATCATCATACGTTGGTATAGTAGATTTCGAATACATTTTAACGGACGATAATAGTCCATTTCTTTGATTAAAATTAATAATTACTTCATTCATTTCGTCAAGATCTGACGTACCTTCCATTTGAATAATTGTATTCGTTATTTCATCGGTTTCGGCTAGTTCGTTTGCGACAATTGTTGCAATAATAATTTTCACTTCGTCCGCCATTTTACCTAGCTGTCTAACAAAGAATAGTCGTTCAATGATGCTCACTTGTCACAAGGTCTTAGTCAGAACATTCTTAGCTCTGCTTACTAAGCCACTCAGAATTCTTAGTTGTTCTGCGTTACTGAACACGGCCCAGATGATTATTCAGAAATCAGAATTTGGAGAAACTTGTAAGTGTAATTGACAGAGAGTGGATTTGACTGTTAAGAATTGGCAAAATAGATTCTCGACTGTCCAGCTTTACATTTACAAATTATGTCGTCGATTTTAAAGATTTTTCCTTAAAGTTTAAAATGCTAGTAATTTTTACGGGACAATGTGTGCATTTACGTGCATTTGATAATATTTTATTTGTGATTAAATGAAATAAAATTAGAATTGTATTAATATATCTAATTTTCTTTATTTTGATCTTTAAACTTACATCTTGTTCTATATGCAAAATCATCTTATGTTCAAGTAAATACAGTACATTGAATATATAACACATTTTTTGAACATATTTTTTTATGATTAATATATTAATGTATTCATCATAGAGATTAATTAAATAAATGTTAGCATAAAAATTTGTTATTTAAACAAAATTTTTTTATCAGAAAATAAATAGTATAAGTTAACATACAGATTGAATTACTTGTATTTCAAGTTATTAATGTTTTGGCTAAAAGATATCTTTGTAAATTGTTTTTGTTTTATCATATATTTTAAAAGTTTAGTTACAATAAATGTAAATGCTTAAATAAAAGCTTTATAAAATTAAAATTAAATAAAGCTATATTGCCCTCACTTAATGACATTGACTAGCTGACTTATTAACTCATTAATATGAAATGTTTCAGTCGAAACAAACTTCTTTTAGAAAAATGAAACAGTGCATAATATAATCAATATTTCTGTTTTTCTCATAATATAATTAATATTTCTGTTCATATGAACAGAAATCTGTTGATCAGAAATCATATGAACATAAATATTGATTATATTATGAGAAAAACTGAAATTCAAAAAGTCAAATATTTTAGGTCCTATGAGATATCAAAGGTCAACCTCCAATGTCTCATATTGTGTTATAATGTTAATTGGATGATTACGTGCCACCTACCTATTTTTTAATTTGTTCTAGATTATTTTAATAATGACATTTTCGTTTTGTATTACTACCATTAATTATTTTTTATTAGATTTTAATATAAATAATTTTAATTATTTAATTTTTTTAAACGATATTATTTATATGAAGTGTTTCTGAAATAGTGGGACAAACTTCAGTAGATGATTCTTTACAGGAAAATAAAGAAAAAAACATATAAACATGTGTCTAGAAATGAGGAGTTTTTGAGAAATCAAATGCTTTATGATAGTGTCAGGTGGATGATGGATTTTATTATATAACTCTCTTATTAATGTTTTTATTTAATTTTTGACTAAAGTGACAGCAGCTCACTTTGTCAACATGCACATCCTGAACTAAGTCAAACCTATAATATATGTACAGGTGAATAGGCAGACTGGGTAAGGTGGGTTGGCCTCCATGTTTCCCCACTCTGAATCTTTTGGATTTTTATCTGCTATATGATATGCTAGGAAGATGTTATAGCTGCTTTAGTAAGAATTGAAAGACATGTGACAGTGGTAACCAATAGTAGGAATGAGAGGTCACATCATGCCCAATCCATCAATCTAGTATGGTATTGCATAGTTCATATTTTTTTTAGTAAATTGTAACTTTTAGATGAATCAATATTGTATTGAATTGAATCAACTATTGATATATTTTCACTATAAATTCAGATGTTATTATCTGTTCCTTATTTAAACATTGAATAATAAATACAAATAGATACAGTTTAAGCTTATTTATTGTTAACTTTATGTAAGAGTGGAAGAAATGGCTTACAGTAATTTCAAAAAACATTCTTTACAAAAATTTTCTCAGATCTCCTAATTCTGTTTGAAATTCTTCTTTGTTCTCAAATTCTATTATGACATTTATGACCTACATAGTCTAAACAATCAAACACCTTATTTGGAAGAATGTCACATTCATCTTTTACCAAAATAAGTTTAGTGTATGCTGCTCCCATTGACAATGCAGAAATACTTATGTAATGCATTGTTTATATCTGCACCACCATATACAGGAGGCCTGGAAACTCCAAAGAGCACAGAAGCCTATGCTCTAGTAGATTCACACATACATAGACACATGGAAGGTATTTTCGACATTTGTTATGTAAGATTAAGTAATAAAATCTGTCTTGCACCTGACATGGTCATAAGAGGTTTGATTTCTTGAAAAGCTCATTTCCAAACATATGTTTATATGCTTTTTTCTTTATTTTCCCATGAGGAATCATTCCCAAAGTTTGTCCCACTGTTTTAATACCTTGTAAATACAAAACTAATATTGTTTAAAACTCATTATAAATTATAACACTGGTAAGATTATCACAAAGTTATGTGAAATGTTGAGATTGGACTGCCAAAGTTGGTCAGAGACGGAGCACCTAGTAACTAGTAACTATATATATATATATATATACAGCATTATTACTAAGTGCTTTTCCCTTAGTATATACATACTTTATTAACTAAATATTTGATACATCTTAATATTTTTTTATATTCTAATTTTTATGGAGTGGTAATCTAAATTTTATCTCAAAATTTTATAGGGAGAAGATCCTTCATCTTTTGATGGAAATAATGCATCATGTTTTGATTACATAAAAAGTTTGTCTGATGATTTTGTTTATCAACCTACATCAAATGAAATGAACTCTAAGTCTCAATGTAAAGTACATAAAGATTATACTGTAACTCCACTTACTTTAAATCTTTATGATGATTCTGATTTTTGCAAATTCCCTGAAATGGATAAAAAATTCTCAATAAATGAACAGAAAACTTATCATCAGTATCAAAACATTTTAGGCACTTACTCTGATATGAATAGAGATCAACATAAATGCTGTTCTACAAATGAAAAAAATCCAATAATTAATTCACTAGATTTCATTGAAAATATGAAATGTACCAATTGCCAAAAATATGCTGAAATATTACATAGTATGTGTTCTGAATGTAAAAAGAAAATTTCTGTGATTCTGTGCAAAGATTGTTATAATTCTCAACAGTTTAATGAAGAAGGTATGCTATTAATTTTTTTGTTTTATGGTTATCTTATTCAATCTTAAAATAAAGTTCCAAGCCAAAAATAACTATATTAATTGGAATAAGATGCATTTTCACTGATTACAAGTAAAATAATATATTGAGTAAGTTATACAAGTATCTAAATGAGAAAAGTTATTAATTACATAGATTTATTAATCTTCTAAGTATGAAATATTAATTTGTAACCTAATCAAATCGTAACAATAATTAATTTAACTAGATTATCTATCACCTTATAAAATAATTTTCATGTTTAGAAAGATTAATAAATTTAAATAATGACTTTTCTTATTTATATATTTTTATAATTAAATTATTTAACATACTGTATTATTTTTTATATGCAAGTAGTGTCCAACTTATAAAGATATTCTCTTTCAGAACTCCTGTCGTAAGTCATATTGGTCATAAATTGAGCATAAAAAATAATGGTGATAATGGGATGTGATTCCCAAGATCATAAATAAGTGTAGTACATATTGTATATCTACTATGTTTCAATTAGTTAATATGTGTACTGTACATACAGTACAATACTATATAATACAATAATTCAACACAATGCAGTACAATGACAGTATTTATGTATACTGTGAATTACACTGATGTTTAATATTTTAATTAATTACAGTATTTTATTAAAACAATTCATGAACACATGCAGGTAGTCAACCATATTCAAAAGAATCAAAAATCAAACAGTATTGTAATTTTCATATGGAATTGATTTTATTTTTATGTTAATTTTAATTAATTTAATTTATTAGGGCTGTTCATAAATTACATCCACGTTTGTCTTGAAATTTTTACCTCCCTCTTCCCCTTTGTCCAGTTTGTCCGAGTTTCCTTAATCCCCTCCCCTCTTTGGACATCCAACAAAACTCAACCCCTTCTCAAAATCTTTACACTTTATGAATAATAAAATGGATAAACTGTATAAAATCTAATGAAATAAAACAGATATCCATTGAAGTTCAACTCTTCCCGTTCCCCTTATCCAACTTGTAACCCCCTTCCTCCTTTCCAATGTTGATGTAATTTATGGACAGCCCTTTATTAATGCATTTTAACCTTATAAAATTAAAATTAGAATGTTAATCCAGAGAAACTGTGTGTGTTTGTGTGCATATATATAATTCAGTTATTAGCCAATCAATAAAAACAATTTTGAATATTCTGAAAAATTGCAAACTAATTTTAATTGAATAAAATAACATAATAAAATTTTTTAAGATTCATTATTTTAGTGATTTTTTAATTGTATCCAACACTAAAATACTGGTATATTCATAAGATTTTTTGAAATATAAATTGATTTTTTTATGGATCTTACAAAATGAGTTTTATTTACTGTACATGCAAAAACATAGTTAAATTATTGAAATGTTTTTATTATTAATGTCTTGTAGCAAAAATCTAATAAGCAAAACATTATTGTAGATCAAAGAATAGCAGATTATATTCAGTTACATAGTAAAACATCAAGGTAAAAGGATTTAACTATTCAACTATAGTTTATTTATATTATTTTAATGTATTTAAATAATTTTTCTTTTGCAGTGAAGAAAATGTGAAACAACAAAGTTCACAAAAAGACAATTATTATATACAAATGGTAATGTTTTCTTTTTCCATGCTAATTTAAACTTTTAAAATGTCATTTCAAATCAAATTCATATAATCAAGACTAATACAGGTAGGCCTCCTACAATGCGGTAGATACATTCCTTGAAAATACCGCGTTGTGGGAAATCGCGTTATAGGAGACACCAACTTAATACAAAAACTGGGATTTGGTTCTAAAAAGAGAAAAACTTGACGTTTGAATGGCGTTTTTTGAATTTTTCAAACCAGCCATTGCTAGCCACGAATTTAAACCTTATTTCATCAGCCGACGGTGGTCCCATTTGTTTTAATAATCAAATATTTTTAAGGCTTTGTGTTTAACTGCACTTTTATTTAAAGGCAATCGTTTATTGTTCATATCTTCTACCCATAATATCAGCGCTTGTTCCTTTTTTTTTTTTTTTTTTTTTTTTTTTTTTTTTTTTTTTTTTTTTTTTTTTTTTTTTTTTTTTTTTTTTTTTTTTTTTTTTTTTTTTTTTTTTTTTTTTTTTTTTTTTTTTTTTTTTTTTTTTTTTTTTTTTTTTTTTTTTTTTTTTTTTTTTTTTTTTTTTTTTTTTTTTTTTTTTTTTTTTTTTTTTTTTTTTTTTTTTTTTTTTTTTTTTTTTTTTTTTTTTTTTTTTTTTTTTTTTTTTTTTTTTTTTTTTTTTTTTTTTTTTTTTTTTTT